TCTCTTCAGAATCTCCTGATTCAGATATCAATGTTGAACTGCAAGAATCCACAACTTTGTGTTCAAAAAGCCCTGCTTTAGTTTTTGAGTAATCTTGCCCAGTCTGGAATGTTTTCATCAGCTCTTTCACAGACATAGTCTCCTTCTCTGACAACTCTGGTGCCTCTCTCTGTGGGCTAACGCTTCTATCGTCACATTGAACTGTATCAGCAAATTTTACTGACTTTCCAACATAGGCAATTTTGAGGCTCTGAGTTTGGGTTTGTGATTTTGGTTCCTGCATAGGACTTTGTTCTGTTCTCTGTCTCTCATTAAAATCTGCTGATTCAGTTACCAATGTCGAACTACAAGAAGAAGCCACTGCTTTGTGTTCAAAAAGCCCAACTTTATTTTTTGAAGGGTCCTTTCCAGTCTGGAATGCTTTCATTAGCTCCTTAACAGACATAGTCTCCTCTAATCTTTCTGTCTGAGATCTGGGGGATTTAGGGGACCTGGGAACTCTGGGAAGTTCTGGCATGTCTGTCTCAGTCTTCTTTGTGGCAGTAGAAGCTTTTGTCTGAGGAATTAGTTCCTGAGCATTGTTTTGCACCACCTCCTCTTCGACTTTGTTCTGCAAAGCTTTAACTCTGTCCTTTATAGATCCTATAGGGGTCCCAACCACTAAAGGTGAAGCTGGAGTATCCATAACGGTGGTTGGTACAAGGGCACTGTCCTTAAGAACAGCATCACCATCTAAAGACTCCTCAGAGCTCATCCTTTCCAGCTCACCCTCGGAGCTGCTACATCCAGACTGCTCTCTATCTCTAAGTTTCTTCCTAATTGGTTTCTTGATATCTGGGGGTCGTCGTTTGCCGTCACGCTTTACAATAACCTGTTCAAATTTTTCTTGGACAAGGTCTTCCTGAGAACCTAACATCACAATAGGTCTCTGATCCAGGTATTGGTCCATGTCCATGCTGAGGTGTGAGACAATGCCTGTTACATCTCTGACCTCTGTGGCAGATCTACTTGAAGTCTTCCCCTCAATGAAAATCTCCTGTAAGACTGGTTCTTCAACAGAGGGGTACTTCTTCGTCTCATAGAGTGAACCCCATTTCTGGTTTTTATCATAATCTCGTTGTACTTCCAGTCTACCATTGTTTATGCAATCTCTTTGAATCTCTCCAACCTTTTCCTGCCTGTTTTTGGACTGTAACACAATGGCCAATGGCTCTTCTTCCTCTCCTCCTCCTTTTTCTCTAGCTCCAGCTCCCTCTTCAAATACTAAGTGCTCCATTTGCTCTGCAGTCAAAATAGCAGACATTTTGACATCTGACATATCCGAGAGAAGGTCCGGGCTTGCAAGGGTTGCGGGGTCAAGAGGTTGGTTAGTTCTCAGGGAGAATGTCTCAGTTGATTCAGATTCATCATCTTCAATTAAATAGTTTCATAACCAAAAAGGGTAAAGAACGTAAGGGACAAATGAAGTGGGAAAGAGAGACATCAGAAAATTGTGATCAAGATAATGCCATCAAAAATCCATCTTCAGTTCACAAAGTAAGGAGAAGAATAACAGGGCAGAGTAAAAGAGAGTCTTGGTAAGACGACCAAAAAGAAGATGACAGATCCAGAAGAATATGGAGGGGACCAGAGCAACAACAGCAAAAGCAAAGCCAAGAGGAGTAACATAACAGGTAGAATATGGACAAGAATAATATTATTCTAATTTGCTACTACATTTTAAAACATTTTACACAAAATAAACACAAGGGAACAGAGACACCTACATGTGGAACAAAGGGACAGGAAGGAGAGATAACAGACAAACAAAACTTCTCAAGATTGTTGCTGACATGAACATGTCATGTCTGCCTACAAATTAAAGTCTTAAACAGAAAACATAATGAACTTTGAATCCAAAAATAAACAGAGGGTTTTTAGTAAAAGGAGGTGTAATCAAGTAATTAATGTCAGTAATCAGATCTTTTTTTTTTTTTTTACTGGAATTAAAGCTTTACAATAACAAGTGTTTGTAAGCAATATAAAGTATTTAATTCCTTCACTTTGAAACATTGCTATTTGGACATTTGCTATTATTTATAATCTCATTACAGGTTAAAAATAGTAAATGTTGTTATATAGTAACGTTCTTTGTTTTGTGACCTTATGGCACTATTAGTTCACATACAGATTAGGGCTGTGCGATATGACAATATATATCGTTTGATGATAGCAAAACGTCTATAGTTTAAAATTATGCTCTATCGTTTATTTCGTTGTGTCGCAAATTCAACACTTTACGAGGGAATGACGCTTTGCACCGTGGTGAAGTTAGTTTTATGCTGGATATTCGACAGTCATCTGTTGACTATTGAACGTAAATCTAATTTCCGACTTGAAAACTAACTTCAACGCGGTCCAGTTCTTCCACACTTGCCAGTGTTGCAGTGACGAAATTTGCATTCAGAATAAACAAACGTGGAGGAGAGTGAAGTTTACTCATACCAGGGCCCTGGCTGAGTAGGGGCCCCGCAACATATTGCGTGTGTGTTTTGTCAGTCGCTTATAGACACGACCGTACAAGAGAATTGCATGAAGGCAACAAACTTTTTACAGTCTATGGTTACAAACAACGTGAAAAAAAAAATCAGTGCAGCCGTATAAAATGAAACAGGCATTTCACTCCTCTTTTCAATAATAAACCACCACAAGAATGACAACTACCAACAAAAAAACCCACTATATTCTAAGCAGACACATTTAAAAAAACAAATCACAAAGTTACTTTTGTATTTTAAACAAATAGGAGACTTATTAGCAAATTTTAACAAAACTCCCTTCACTGCCATGCATCATGGGAATTCTGAGGGACTGACTTAGGCTGCTATATATCACCCCGGACTCACACAGGTGGTGTGTGCGTGTGCTGCGGTTTAGTTCTGTCCTCAACTTCCACTGGAAGCCAAAATGTTACAGCAACGGAGCTGAAGCCTGCCCCATGTTAATGACTTGTTTTTATTTTGTTTTCAATAATTTCCTTTTTGTGCTTCTACTACCTTCTTCACTGCTCTCTGTGACCCGCTTTCGTTCTGTCATCTGCAGATCCCACAGGGAGCATTTCAGAATAAGAGTGTTTTGCCTGCCTGATTTTGCTGACATCTTTAGATTTTGTTGATTTTGTGATTAGTGCTTGCTTTTTGTGCTTCTACTACGATTAAGTAGGCTACATCGTTAAATAGTTTTTTTTTTTGTGTCTGATTTAACTGTGTTTATTGTTGATATATACGATCAACAGGGTATTTTATTTTGAAAATGGCTGCATATTCACTCTAAAGAGGAGCAGAGAGACACTTCTTGGTGTGTGGTGAAGCATTGACTAGAGTGGCTGCGATCAGCTCTGCCAGTCGCAACGCAGACGGACTTTTGGAGTGAGTCTGGGGTCATGTAAATCAGAATCAGAAGGAGATTTATTGCCAAGCAGTTTTTTTTACACATTTGAGGAATTTGCTATAAATTACTTGCTATAAATTTGGTATAAATGACTCTGTAGCAGGTGGGCTCTGTGATCTAGCCCCGCCCCAGGTTCATACCAAAGAGAGAAGTCTGTTGTATGGACGAGCCACACAACACTACTCCAGCAGTTTCAGCCATGATGTGTGTCAGGTAACGTTTAATGACTTGCCCACGGACATTCAGCTTACTTTCTAGTTCACAAAGACACGCTGTTGTGGTGATGTTAGCTATAGCAGCAGGAGAGTTGTATCTCTGCCCGGAGCTGCTGGTTGCTCTGGGACCGTCTCGTCCTCCCATGTTTACTTTGCAGCAGCAAGTAACAACAGTTTGCTAACCCACAACCTAGCTTACATTATACTGTGTTGTTGTTCACTCTATATCATGGTATTTCTCCATCTGTTGGATTTCTCCAGAATAGCTTACCCCACCTTTATGATGCAGAGAAAAATCACGAGTTCATAATATTTAATTGAATTTACAAAAAATGTTCTATATCGGGATATATATCGTTATTTGGATATGAAATGAACTATATCGGGATATGAGATTTAACTCATATCGCACAGCCCTGATACAGATAATAAGTAGTGATGTAAAATAATAATTATGTAAAAATGTGGGAGATTTGATTAATAGTACAACTCAATTAATGAATGAAAGAAACTTAAGAAAGTTGGTAAATGAAAAATAATGTGCAATTTGAGTATAACAGAGGCCAAATTCATATTAAATAAACGATAATAAAAATAAACCACCAATAACACACTTTTAACAGAGAACAAACAACATGATGTTGTTTGTCAATTATTTCTGTACAGAGCAAATAAAGGTTTTCAGCATGCCACAGGTAAAACTGTTAAAAGGAATGTGATCTGAGAAAATAAATACTTTTTATAAATTATTACCACAAACATAATTATTTTCAAGATAAGATGAACTTCTAACACAAATACAGTAAAATTCAAAGCAATGTTGTGTGGAATTGAACATAAAGTATTATTTTAACCTTCATCTATGAATCATTCAAATAAAGGTCATAGCAAGCTCAAAATTAAAATGTTATGGGTGGGAGAAAGTAATTTTGGTTTGGAGTGAGGGGAATGCAGAGTATATCAGCCATAGCATAGCTGCAAGTAACAAACATGTAACTATACACAGTGTTAGTAGAGCAAAATAAGAGAGCAGGGTTAATTCAAATGGAATATAATACTAATAATTATTAGTAACTATATATCAATCAGTGCATTTGTTAGCACATACTTCATATTTCTTCACTAGTACTTTACAGCCATTATGGTGAGTGTTATGTTAATCAAGTGCTGTGATTCCAATTGAGCCTGTGTTGTACTGTAAAAATAAATACAATCATAAATATTAATAATACATTAATTAAATTATAACATCAACACTGACAATTGAAAAATGGTCATGTTGGTGTTATAAAACTTTTTAACACCCTAACATGAAACACGAATACCGGTATTGCAAAACAACAGAGTTGAGCTTACATTTCTTGTCACTCTTCTCACTCTGCAAAAAATATAAAAAAGGCAAAGTTAGCTGCAACTTAATTATGATATTATTATTCTTTCTTTGTTTGTTGTAGTACTGTATCAAGTAACCTTTATTTACCTCATCATCTGCATCTTGGTCTGAATCTGACTCCTAAAGAGAAGAAACAGAGAGAAAGCAAACAATGCAGTTACTGTAACTAAAAATTATTTACTATTATTATATAAATACAAACTGAGATATATTCAAACTAACCTTTGAATATGTTGGGAGAGTGATGTTAAGGTTGCATATAGCATTGTGGGTAAGACTACGGTATGTGCGGGGTTCCTTGGTGAAGGACAAGCGACCACATGGTTCCTGTGCTGTGTCTCTAATCTGTCCATTAAACAATTAAGTCCATTACTGACACATATTAGGCTTCTAAATCTCTTGAGTACATAAGCAGAAATGTCAGACATGTAGTCCTACTTTGATGAAGAGGGCCAGTCTATTCTCTTTGAAGGCAAAGAAGCTGAACACATGGTGTTGTCCACTCTTGGTAAGAGGTACCAGGTTTCCAAAGCAGTCAGCAAATATAGGTTTTCCCTCCAGCACCTGTGTGTGGATATGAGAGCCGTTTTCATAATTCAGATAAACTTTTAAGGTCTACATAACAGTGGTGTCAGAATTTTTAGATGAACCCTTTCCCACACTTTTCCTTCTCCTTATTTATTCCAATCATCACACTGCACCTCAACATCTCGGCTACGGGCAACTTCAGTGAAGTTCTCTTGCTGCTCCAGGGTCTTGTCCATCTTGTCGTCTGTCATGCAGAAACAGCGCAGGCGGGCCTCAATCGGGTCCAGTGTCTTAGCAAAAATTACAAACTTGGCCATGTATGGAACACAGATGATCTCTCTATACAGCTGAGAGGCAAAACTAACAGACTCCTGGATCTGTCTGCAGTCTATCAGCCAGAACCTAGAAATACAAATGAGAATTTAGTCAGTTACTGATTACCATTACCAGATAGTTACACAGTATGCTAGGTACTCATGGTATCGTGTTAAATCACGTAAGTAAAGGAAAATAGTAAATCGGTTCAAAGTGTTAAGCTTCAATGGAAAGGACACTTGACTTCTTATTTGAGAACTTAGAAAGAATTTACCTTGCGGATACATTTGTGGTGAAGGAAACACATTGGTTAACAAAGGTGAGAGGTGTGGAACCAGTGATGTCCTCCCATTGGGCAGGAGTGGTTCCACCTGGAACACAGACACACGATTTGTTACCCAACCTGTCATGGTTGTTTGCTACATTTTTAAGTTTATATAAAAAAGAAAAATTTTATCCAAGCATTGCTTATTCTACATACCTGTAATACTGCAAAGCAAACGTAAGGTGGGGGTCTCCCCACTGAAATCCGTGCTTGGCACATCACTATTCGAGCTCTTGGGAATGGGAATGGTCATCGTAATTGGTTTGTGAAACTTCCTCCTCCTTGGCTCCAATGTGACAATTGAGCTGAATGTGGCTTTGTTTCCAAGAATCTTTCTCACCATCTCGACATCAATGGGCTGAGCCTAGGACAAAGTGCAAAATGTTTCAATATAACTTTATTGGCTGCCTTAACTTTGAACATTCCATTGATACGTGTCTGGCCAAGAAATGCATTGTATGTACCTGTAGCCCAACTCTGATCTTCTTGGTGAGGGCACCTTCAGGGAAGACAGCCTGGACCTGGGGCACAAGAGTGCTACTAAGGACCCCGCCCTCTGGTCCAATCAAATGACTATCCTGTTTAATCCGTGACACCACCGCAAAATACTGTGGGAAGTCACGGGTGATGATGCGGCATATTCTTTTCTTTTCAAGCTCCTCAGGGGAATCAAGTTCTGTGAAGTTCAGAAAGATTCAGTATAAATACCCCATGAGCACTTAATTTTGTGAAGTTTGGAGAATGGGGTTTCAAGATTAGTTTAGTTTCTCCTTCATCCATTACTCACAGTCTAGCTAAAATCCCTTACTTTCATCCATCCCGTTAAGTATCTGGTTCAGTTCCTCTTCAGTGAAGTCACAGTGGTGTTCCCTCCAGCTCTCCCCTGTCTCACTCCTCAAGATCACTAGCTCTCTCTCTGTGCCCCGCAGAGCTGCAAAATGCGGGATCTCCACAATCACAGGCCTAAAAGGGGAGAGAAGGTAAAAGTCAAACGCAAATTGGACTTAAAAGTATGTTGGTGGAAACAATTTGGCAGAGCTGGCTTTTTCAGAGATGATATGATGATTGGGTTGATTTATGCATGACCTTATAAAAAAGAAAAGAAACAAAAAAAAAGGACACAAGATTAAAATGTAAGTGTGAAAACATTTCATGCCTAGTAGACAAACATATTAAAAGTAATTTGAAAAACATTTAAACATAAAAAGAACATCCATTCTACATCACAAGCAGAATCCAGCTAGTCTGGGGATTGGTACTTTAGACTGAAGAAAGCACGGGCATAACTCCACAACATAGGTCAACAACAGGTCAGGGGGTTTCAGACTAAGGTTTGCAGTACCAAAAAACAAAGGAAGTAACAGAATAAAAACAAAAAAGTTACAAATATCATATCATGGAAAACTCAAAAAAATCTCAGGTGGACAAAAATATGGGTGTGTGACCACTTCCAGGATGGTAGGGTGTCCCCCAACCATGGTCCTACCCGAGGAACTTGGTTCCTGGAGGACCCAGCTGCAGGATGCGACTGACCAGGCTCTCACCCTCATTTAGAGGGGGCGGAGCTGTGGGAAGGTGAAGCTTACTGATCCATACGCAGCACAGAGGGGGAGTGAAGAAGAAAATATGAACACACCAGACAACAGCGTAAACACACTCGCACAAGGAAGTACACACATACACACACACACACAAACACAGACACACACTTGCACAAGGAAATACACACACATAGTACACACACTTAAACACACACTCACCCCAGGAATTGGGCTCCAGTGGGTCCCACTTCAATGATGCGACCAGCTAGCCCCTCACCCTCCACCATTGGAGGCATAGAGGCGAGACGGTGCCTCTTCACCAGCCTGCATGTCACCCGAGTGGGTGCAGAACACTTTCTTGGTGGTACAATGATTCGCAGGCCATTGTGACGGCAACCACGCATGGCACCGCCCCTGGCATCTACCATGAAGCTGACCAGGAAGCTAAAGGAAAGGGTCAAGCAAGAAATCACATAAATTGGTTTTTAAGATTGGTTGGTCATAAATGCAATATTTCTGGGACAGATGTAAAGTCTGTTGACCATGAGCCACCATGCAGTCAAAGCAATACTTCATTGCAGGCTGCTTCCATCATTGTTTTCATTCCACTTGAAATTTTACTTGCAAGCCAGGCAAGCAAAGAGGAGGGCATTGAACAAAATTCTTTCTGAAGGATCTTATATATAAAGGAGTAAATAGATATCAAATATTAGATATCTTCAGGTAAGCGAGTGCTTCCAACAGTACTTAAGTTTTCTGTATATGAAATGTTAACACATGTTAACTTAAAGATGTCCATACTCAAACTACATGACAAGTGCTCTACTTCTGTTTGAGTAACATTTGCTGTTTAAAGAAATTTCTGAGCTATGTGGAACTAGATATTTGTGAGCATAAATTTTTGTTTTAGTTGGAATAAATGGGCTAGGTGCCTGCCACAGGCAGATTAGGGAAGTTGGAAAGTATTGACACACTACCACATTATTATAAGAAACACAGAATAATATCAGCCTTATTCTTTAAGGATTATCAAATTAGGATCCAGCTATCATAAAATGCCTTGCTGCCTCAAAACACTAAAACCTATTCTCAACATACAATGCTGTTATATTTGGTAGAGAAATATAAATAGCATCTCGGGTCTATGTATCAGCTGTTATTTTCAAGATCAAAGGAGTCAGATCTGCATCAAGGATGACAAACTTAGTTGGAACATCTCTAGTTAACAAAACTTGAACCCTGGAAATGTAAAGTCATGCACCATGGTATTGTGCAGATAGGATGGGAATGAGGATAAAAGTAAGGGCACAGAGGAGAGAAGAAAAATTAGTCAAAATAAAGAGTATCACCTGCTGTTGTCATGGTCTAGGCACGGAGAGGAACGGCTAGAAGCAGAATACAACAACACACACACACACACACACACACACACACACACACAATCACAAACACAGCCAAGACAAGACAGTGCACAAAGAGGCATCAGGAGAATAAACAAAAAGAGAAAAAGAGAATAAAGAATGAGTAAAAGTGACAAAAACCTGACCAGAGAAAGAAAAAGACACAGCAGCAAAGATTAAAAAAAGAAGGTATGTAGAAAACACAGAAGTGAAGGAATGAAAAATAATGTCAGGAAAAATTAAAATTGATTCAGAGGTGACTCATACACACCTGCTTGTGAACAAAAGCATATGAAAGACACCAGGAAACAATGTGAATGTGTGTGTATACCCTGAGTGTAGCAGACTGGAGGACAGCACCACGTTATCAAGATGCTCAGCTCCCCAGCTCAGACGGAACGAGTCCTTTTCATGCTCTCTAGACAGTGCTGATACCTACAGACCAAAAACATCAGCACGCCAGTTGGTGTAACACAAGACAAGCTATACTCAAATATTCTAAACTAAGGCTACCTTAAATAAGGTTTTCTTAAATTCCCTTTTCGTATGCTTTGTCCTCACCTGGTGGCTTGTAAGCATGTCTTCGATGAAAACTCCCTCTCTCTGATGATAACTTTGGTGAATGGGAGTGTGCTGCGGCCTGTTGGAAAAGCAAGTTGGAGTGTCTTTGTCAACAGCAGTGGATAAAAATTTGAGTGATGTGTCATCACCCCCTACACACATGTGCTGTCATTTATTTATGTAAAATTAGACTTCTTGTTAAGTGTATTGTTTTTAAATTAAGTGTGTTATTTATGACCTGTCTAGGTTGTGGCATATGTAACTGAGGTCCCCGTAGTGTCCTGGCAGAGAGTCATCTCCCAGCTCTCTGAGATCTTCTGCTCTCAGATATTCTCCTCCATCACCTGTCATGGTGTCCTCACCTGGCGAACAAAGATATTTACAGAAAAAAAGATGCATTTTTATGTGAATCTAAAATTGCTGTATGGCCACCTGTCCAGGAAGTCCTGGATCTTTTATGACTGTGTTTCTTTAAAAATGCCCCCAATCCAGCTGCTTTCTATCTCAGCTCATCGAACCCCATGACAAGGTCCAGTCTCAGGCCTGTTTCACACTTTTCACGCGGTAGCTGCAATTTCAAACACGAGATAATTTTCTTTTTGATCATTTGAACACGTTTGACTTATCAGAACAAACACCGTACTTACAGCACATGCGTGACACACAAATGTATCTGCAATTTGTGAGTGCCGATCATTTGTGAAACATCACGCTGCGTCTGAGCCGTGCTCGCAACTCACTTTTCTGAAAAGGTTCACCGATTCTGAAGGCATGATGGCATTGTGGAAATTTTATTTTTGTTGGTCAGCACTGCTAAATCAGTGCATTCCTGAATGATTATTATATTCATAACTGTCATGATCATATCCACAGCCCCACACACTTCATGCACTTAGTTTCCACCATTGCACGTAATCAACAACGCTCTGATAACACCATATAAACAACAAGGTGTTCAAAGTTCTGCTTATGTAAAAGAAATCAGGTATATAAACCACACAACAACAACACTCAGTCATTTTAACTGCACATACTCTATAATACTCGTAATCCCCATACAACCAGAGGATTTCAAATTTGAGAGTAAAAGGCTAGAGAAAAAAATCTCAAAATACCTTGTTGTAGCAAATCGTAAATGCATAAGTGCACACTACAAATATGATCACACTGATTAGTGACAAGAAAAGCAGGGCAGACATTTTGCAGTACCTTCCAGCTCCACAGACATCTCAGATAATGGCTCATCCTCCAGCCTCAAAGCTATGAAACATACAGCTTTAAAACCCATAGGTACGAAATTACTCAGCTCTTTATGACTGCTGAACACATGGGAAGAGAGCTAACACTTTTTATGCAAGGTCAATTTTGAGTTGAAGTATCTGATGATAAGAATAGCCTAAACCCATTTCACTGTCCATTTACCTGTAATGCAATTAGCTTGATACAGTCCAGTAAAACAGTAAGTTCTTTTCTTTAGTTTTTTCTCTGTTTTAAGTTACTCACCTTCTTCATCAGACACATCAAGGATCTCAGTCATGGTCTCAGGGACATTGAGTTTGTGTTTCTCTATGACCGTCTGATGTGACCCCCATGGAAAAAGACAAAAAATAAAGAAAAGTTAAATTGGTATTCTGGGAAATTTAAGAGACAACCTACTGGTATCACAAGCTTACCGTTGTGGTAGTGACGACCTCCTCAGTGACGACTTTCAATGTGTCTACTACAGAGATGTAACCCAGACGTCTGGCAATAGACAAAGCTGTGTTTCCATTCTAACAGAAAGACAGAGATAGTGTTCATGTGACATGGAAGTGAAATGACACATTCACTTTTTTACAGAAGTTTGCTTATCAGTGAGAGCTGAGTAAAACATATCATTTTTTCCATACCACTGTAGTAGCATTAGGCTTGGCGCCATGTTGTAGCAACACATTGATAATGTGTGTGTTCCCCTGTTGTGCTGCCTGGTGAAGGGGTGTGTATCCATTCTATAGAATGAAAGAAGGAGACTGGATTTTATCGCTGTAATAAATTTAATAACACAGACTTTAACTGTATAATGTGGGGTGCTTGTTATTGTTGTTTAAACTGATGAGAGTTTCTACACTTTTCAAGTTTGACATTTGAATTCTACCTTAGTTTTGGCGTTGACGCTGGCACCCTGCTGTAACAGGAAGTTCACCATTTTGGCATTTCCATAGTGACAGGCCACTATCAGAGGGGTATATCCAAGCTGAGGGGATGGGGAGATGACACAGAGAAAAAAACTGTCTTAGATACAAAGTCTGAATGATGTAGACACGTGATGTGGCCATGCTTCCCCAAAGCCAGTAGGTGGCAGATATGCTGACTTTGTGTGTTACTTTTTGGGGATTTATTGGTTGGGAGATTCTTTTAAAAAGCAGCTGGTAAACACAACCCCCTGCAGTTAATGCATACAAAACAAGCTATAACAGTGTTTATTATTCCATCACTTCACCACAGAATACAAAACAATCCCTGTCTTGAATGAGGACTCCACTTGCATGAGTGTATGCCTTTAAGTCTGCTGGTGTATACATTCGTGTGTGTATGTATGTGTGTGTTTGTACCTTAGTTTGCTGATCCAAGTTGGCATCATGTTTGGCCAGTACTTCTGCCGCACTGACTCTGTCTTCTTGGGCTGTGAGGTGCAGAGGAGTCAATCCACTCTATAACATACAAAGCACGGAGTTCTCTTGGTTTGTCTTTGTGTTGTGTGTCTGTGTGTGTAACGTCATTGTTTAAACACACACATACAGATACAGATATTGTTATGTGGGGCACTACAGCAAAACACGAATCTATAACTGATTTCTTGTTGCATATTCTGAATGTTTACAAGACATACGATCCTATGCTTATGTCCTTCATCTTGCAGATTCCTGAAAATGTGAGAGCTACCTGCACCTTCAGTAAGAGATGTAGCATCTAATCAGTATCAACACAAGTGCCTGACAGAAGTCTCAGAACGTGTCTGCATTTTTGTGTGACCTTGGTGACTGCATTGACGTGAGCTCCTTTGCCCAGCAGCAGGTTGGCCATCTCAGCGTGTCCTTCCTGGGCTGCCAGGTGTAGAGGGCTGACTCCCTGCTTGGTCAGAATATTGGTCTCTGCTCCATACTGCAGCAGCGCTAATGCAATGTTCGTCTGGTTCTTTTTGGCTGCAATGTGGAGAGGAGTGTAGCCATTCTGGACAGGGAGGAAGGTGAACAGTTACATGCTAAAAACACAACAACAACTCTATATAGGTAAAATTCACCCAACAGATTTTAAATAGTGGCAGAAACAGCAGGCTTTTATGTTTTTTTCCCCCCGGTGCACCTGAAATCTAAAACATCACGAACATCTCAGATTTTGGTATCAGCTTTTAAAAATCAAAGGACATTACTCTGAAGTTATTGTTTTGCCATTACTATTACTACGTAAAATCCTCACCACGATTACAATTAGGCTCAAAATCTTGTGGTTAGCTGAGAAAATAAAATTAAACTGGAGTGCTAGATTGCTACAGGATAATGCAACACATATAAACCATAGCGTGAGAATGTCAAAGTACTGTCCTTCTTTAAAATCCTTTGTCTAACCTTTGCAGTAGCATGAGGCGATGCCGCTTTTTCCAGAAGCAGCAGAGCTACATCTCGGTTGTCATAGTGAGCTGCCACATGTAACGGAGTTAGGCCATTCTGTAAGAGGAAGCATTTGATAAAATTATTTCTTATGGAACACTGTACCTTTATGATTCTATTCTACTCTATAATAAGTCCATTACGTAGACACAAATTAATTCAGTGGACAGTGTATCTCACTGAAATAAATAACCTTGTCCTGGAGTAACTTTTCAGCCCTTGAATCGGACTCTACATTGTTCTATTTAAATAATGAGTATAGATAATCCTAAAGAATTTTCTGTTCACCTTGCCAGCATCATCGGTGAGAGCTTTGCGTTGAAGGAGAAGTTTTGCTACATCAAGGCTTCCATGTTTAGCTGCTACATGTAATGGAGTGAATCCTTTCTGTGGAGGGGAAAAGGGAAATGTTTATTTCAAACCGGCATGTTTAAACTGTTCATGTTTCACTGGATATTTGTGAGCCTATACAATAATCTTATATCTCTTTGTTTCATTAGGTAATTCTCTGTCTTTGTGCAAAACTGTTTTATCCTCTTCTCACCTTTGTGGCCAGTGAGTGTGAGGCTCCGGCTTCTAGCAGCACGGCAGCAGTCTCTACTTGGCCCTCCCTGGCTGAAATGTGGAGGGGAGTGTAGCCATTGGTGGTGGCAGCGTCTGGATGAGCCATGTGCTGCAGCAGCAACTGGACAATATCAGTTTTCCCCAAACGGGACGCGATGTGGAGGGGAGTCTGGTCCTCCTGTGGTTGAGGGATGAAAAGGGTGTACAAATTTGAGTAGAGAGGTAATACAGGAGAGAAAAAAATAGAAGCAAAGAGACAGGAAGAGGCAATGGAATAAGAAAAAAACAGACACACAGTAGCCAGAGCTGAGGCAGGCAACATGATCCATGAGTACTTGTATATAATCCAGTGGATGAAATATTCTTGATATGATAAACAGAAGGAAACAGTGATTAACTCTGATGATGCGACAGCCGACTCACCCTTGCCATGGCATCCACCAATGCTCCATTCCTCAGCAAACAGCGAACCACTTCCATCTGACCTGCTCGTGCTGCCATGTGAAGAGCTGTCTCACCACGCTGATATGCAAAGAAGGAACATTTATGAGCAGAAAAATACTGTGCTGAATGAAACCCTCATGATTTATGACAATACCTGCTAGGCGGTTGCATTAGGGAAACTGATGATTGGAAAACTTTATGCCTTATGTGTTCTGACAGCTGACTACGGAGAACTGAACAAATTATTTGTCAGTACTCACAATGTTACGGACGTCAGGAGATGCCCCATTCTGTAGCAGAAGTAAAACAATGTTGAGGTGTCCCATGAAGGCAGCTACATGGATGGGAGTCAGACCAGACTAGAAAAAGAAAGGGAGGCGGCACAAGAGAGAGGAAGATGAGCATAAAATGCAAAGTTTCATACAGAAAAGTGTACTGTATTTACAGATTCTATTTTGAGACATTCCCACATTGTCTCACCTCAGTAATAGCCTGAATGGAGGCTCCATATTTGACCAAAAGTTCCATCACCTTCACCCTGTTCTTCTTACAAGCAATATGGAGAGGAGTGAAACCATTCTGGTAGAGAGAATTAACAGATAAACATACAGAGAGAGGATTAAATGTAGTTTTATTTTATTATTGAACCTTTATCTGATTCTTCTGTTTTCCTATGTTTAAATGAATTAAAGATGCATCGTAGGAATCAAAAGCATCCATTCCCGAACCCTTTATTATCTTCTGCTCACTCTTCCTGTCTGAACATGTTTATGTGCTTGTGTATACCTACATGTGTATATATATATATATATATTTGTGATTCTGTGTTAATGCCTCTTTTTAATGCTTGTGCAGTTGTTATTTCCTGTGAATCCCTACCAGCGCTCTGATGTTGGGATTGGCCTTCTTGTCCAGCAGAAGCTTAGTGACTCTGTAGTGGCCACAGTGAGCAGCGACATGCAGCGCTGTGAGGTAGTCCAGCGTGACATCATCAACAGGCGCTTTGTGCTGCAGCAGGAGTTTAACACACTCTATGTGGTCTCCTTGGGCCGACATGTGCAGTGGGGACAGTCCGTTCTGTGTGAGAAAAAAAACAACACATGGATAGATGCAAAAGGTCAGAAAAAGCAGTTAACTGAAGAAAGAGATGGCAGAGATGGGAGGAGAAAAGAGGAGCAAACACAATTGTGTGCTCTCCACACAAATACTATTGAAAGTCTGACGTTTTCTGATTGCAGAACAACTGTAGCTATATTAAGCTCAAGACATTTATTTTGTGGTAGGACAGATTCTGGGGTGTGCTGACCCAGTAATGGCAAAGCCATACACTACCTTGGTTCTGGCTAAGATGGGAGCTCCTCTTTCTAGCAGAATTTCCACTGCTGGGTCATGCCCACTCCTGGCTGCACAATGCAGGGGGGTCAGCCCATCCTGCGGGACAATCACACATGCACCGATAAAGGCACAAACACATAGGTATACAGTATCTCAGTTCTGACAAAAGAGGTAATTGACAAGTGGTTGATATACTCTATTAAGCAATCATTGGCGGGGGACTATTTAATAAAAGCTGATGTCCAGACTTTAAAAATGACTCTCACCCTTGTTTTAGCATCTATCTGAGCCCCTCGGTCCAGCAGCAGTGCCACCATGTTGGCGTTGCCTCTCTTGGAGGCCACATGAAGAGGCGTTATCCCATTCTGACAAGGCAGGCAAGGAAACAATTCAATTCAAAGTCAACAAACAAAACTGTTCAATTTACAAAGCAAAAATATAATTAATGGTTGAGATCAAGAGCTGACATTATTCAAATCACATTTCAAATCCACAAGTCCTGGAATTTCTTTAAATAACTGTTTGTATGACAAAATTAAATTTTTAGGTTTCTGTTGAGTTGAGGGCAATAGAAAGTTACATCACTAACTACCCAACTGTATTTAAAGAAACAGAAACTTCATGGACCAGTCTCAAGAAAGCAATGCATCTGACAACATGCAAGAACAAAATGTAACCTTTGATAGTTTAAGGGGGAAATGCAGTTAATCAAGGCTAAGCTTAAAAGGGAAAGTTTGTTATGGTAAATAGTAAACAGTATGTTCTGGGAGCCTCAAAGTGAAAACACACGTAAAGTTTTATTAGACAGCAGTATAGAGCTGATTTGCCAAGAAGTGGAAATGGGGCGCTACCCTGGCTGTGAAGTCCACTGCAGCTCCTCGGTTCAGCAACAGGGTGGAGACATTCACGTTACCATAGTGAGCAGCGATGTGCAGAGGGGTGAACCCACTCTGTTTGAAACAGACGAGGAGAAATGAGGGAAGGAGAGAGTGAGAAGGAAAGAAAAAGATGAAGAACACAAAAAAGGAAGAAAGAGAAGATTGGTTCAAACAGCAGGGGCAGAATAAAAGAAAGAGAAATGAAAGACGGTATAAAAGAAAGAAGTAGCAGATACAAGAAGCCTGATTCTACTGAAGCAGTGTTACGATGAGGCAGCTAACTGAAAAAAGAAACTAGACACATCAGTGTAAGCATAAAAAAATGAGTATATCCCAAAATAGCACATGCAATACATAATGCGTGCAAAAATCCAGTAATTCCGCCATGCTTGCTAGAAGAACACAAATGGTGAAAAAAATCAAAGCAGTTTGGTTCTGGATACTAAAAGTTCAACATAAAGGACAGTAAAAACCAAAACTGAAATACACAAAGCAACTACGCACGATGTGTATCTGCTTGGGCGAACAAATGGACATTTATAAATAAGCTATATATAAATATCTACAGTACACAGTTGTAGGTGGGTTTACTCCTTACCTTCCCATTCTGATAGACATGGTGCAATTTAATTAAGAAAAAGAGTTAACTTAAAGATCAACAATGTGTTTCAGAGAGGAAAAACAATGCCATAAAGGTGCTTAGAAGTACACATGCTGCAGGTAATGCAGAGAAAGAGAGTAATAAATAAAATCAGTGTTTCAGTTAAAAATCAGTAACGGTAATATATATTTTAAAGAATGATTTATTCATTTAAAATGAAAAGAAAAACAAATGTAAAACAAATAATTTATATTTAAAATGCAATAAACTTACATTCTCTGAGATATATTAATACAACACAATATATTAAGTGTCAGCCATGCAGGAGTGTGTAGCACACCATAGTCAGCTACATGCATTCATATTAGTTGTACATAATTCTAACATGCAGGAATTCACAAGTCCTCCTTAAATAAGGGAAAGATCAGGACAGAAGAGCTGAATGAGATGGTCAGAAGTGACAAAAGGGAATTAAACAAATAGCTGATGATTCTGTATACCTCTGTGGTTCTATTGACCATCATCTGGTTAGGAGGCATCGAGAGAGAAGGGGGGGGGTAAGTTATAGGGTTGTTAGGTAAAGTGCTCATCACAACATTCACATAAAACACAGGGTACGCTTACAAGGTCAGGCAAAGAGCAAAGACAAGGAAGCAAACAACAAAGCTATCTATCAATTAATATTATTTTAATCCTAAATGGAAATATAATCGATAAAATGAATTAAATTGTTATCAAATTATATCCATTTAGTCAGATGCATTATGACACACTTCCTTCTACCTCTCTGTATGCTTCCCTCAATTCCTCCTTCCCTCTCCACATTGTTTAATTACACTGTTTAATTCTCCCTCTATCTCTCACTTCACTCCCATCTGGCACGCCACCCACCTCCATCCATTAATTTCTCCCCGCTGGCCTCCCTCACCTTAGACTGGACGTCAGCGTTGTGGTCGTTCTGAAGCAGCAGTGCGGCAGACTTTGTGTCATCCTTGCGGGCTGCGATGTGCAAGGCTGGTAGGCGGACCTTACCCTTGGTGTCATGCTCCAACAGCAGGGAGACCACTGAGTTGTGGCCCTGCTGGAGGGCGATGGCCAGTGGGGTGAAGCCGTCCTGGAGGAGAAGAGAAGAAGAAGAAACAAGAGAAAAATTTTGAATGGCTACAATCAATTTAGGGGAAGTGAAAGGAGGTTAGGGATATGAATATATAAAGTATTTAGCGTTATAATTTGTTCAACACACATACACGTATCTTATATGCAAACTTACCTCTGTTGCAATGCTTTGGTTCCCATCGTTTTCCAACAGGTATTGCACCACCTCCAAGTGATTCTCCTGAGCTGCCATGTAGAGTGGAGTGAAGCCATTCTGTAGAAGCAAATGCATACAGTCCATACACACTTTGTTTTGTTTTTTTTCCCATATTATCTAATAGCTTTTGATCATTGACAAGCTTCTCACCTGTGACTGAGAATTGATATCTGCTCCTCTCTTCACCAGTAGTCTGACTACTTCCTTTTGTCCGGCCAGTGAGGCAATATGGAGGGCAGTGTTCCCTTTCTGCAGTGAAAAACAAAAGTGTGTTTACTGTGCAGCTGTGGAAGAAGTTCAGATCCTTTACTTAAGTAAGTGTAATTATACCATACTGTGAAAATACTCTACACTACAAGTAAAAGTCCCACATTGAAAACCTTACGCAAGTATGTAAGTATTATCAGCAAAATGCAACTAATTTTAACTACTCAATATGCTTTTGGGTAACTTAATCTACAGGACAATCATCATATTCTATAAGATCTTGTGTTTTGTAGCTGTCCTGTGAGAACAATATATCTCTAAAAAGTCAAGTTCTCATGAGCTCAGAAAAACAGCCCTTTTATCAGTTTTGTGATGATGCTTTTATGAACGAATCCAATTTCTATTAATAGTTTTAGCATTAGAAGTAGTAGGATTTTCTCAGCCAATAACAGAAGCACTTCATCTTTCAGTTTCAAAATCACAAAATTTGGAGATACATTTCACTGGACAGAAAGGTTTGAAAAATGTACAATATTTCCCTCTGAGATGTACAGGACTAGACGTATGAAGTTGCATAAAATCAAAAACACATGACATTCCAATTCCAGTTACATTCCATATGGGCATAAACACTTTAAAATCAGAGCTGTTTGAAAGAGACACAAGTAAAAAAGACGTGATGGCCACAGAAACCTCTCAAATTAATATATCCTCCTTAAAAAACAAATTATGCAAATTAATAATGCACATTATTGTATTTTCAGGATGTGAAGGTTAATGATTGATTAATATCAAAGGCCAAATTCATGTCACTCCAAGGACATGGGCAGCAAGGTGACAGATTCTTTGCTGGCTGTTTACTGTTGCTAGCAGTTAAACCCGACGTGTTAGGCATCCACAGAGTCACATAACAAACAGCTTGCCAAGAAGCTTACCCCACACTCACAATCATCCCCCTCTCTCTTCTCCAGTAAAGATAAAATGGGCGAATCACGATGCAATCACGAGTCCACCGTGACCTCATTCAAAGTTGAAGACTTGAAGTAACCGATGTTAAACTTTGCTATGTCAATGTAAATTTAAAAAAGAAGCTGTCCAAAAGAAAGACTCCAGAAACGCATATAAGACAGTCTCGCTGGACTTTTGGCGAACACTTGATTATAGTGAAGATATAAGGTTACAAACATAAACTCTTAGATTTTCAAGTGTCATAGTTCGAGAGAGAAGCAGTGATTTAATAGCAACTAATATCACTATATATTACTTGCGTTCATGTGCACTCCTTCCCATCATCTCCCTCTTTATCTTTCTGTCACCCAGCTGTCACTGTCCTCCCTTCTTTCTTTTCCCCCCACATATATTCCCCTATGTAGGGCTAAAGATCCAACTGTGATATGTTCATACCTGGAACACTGATAAAGCATATTAACCAACAACTAAAACACTATAAATATGTGCATGTACCTTGGTGGACGAGTCAACAGGTGCTCCCCTCTCCAACAGTTCCTCCACTAAATCCTTGTGTCCCTCCTTAGCTGCCAGATGTAGCGCGTTCAGACCATTCTGAAGAGAAAAGAAAAAGAAAACACCAAGAAGTCAAGAAAACAAATGTGGTAGTGGTTATTGCATAACTGAGTGGTGCTCATGGAATTACATTATAAACATTAAGCCCAAGACCATAGAGCTTGGGCAATAAATACAGTACCTGCATTACATTGTAGGCAGAATATACAGGGAATGGACACAATCATCAACAACTGCACAATCCAGTGCCTTGAAATACAATATTCCTGCAATAAATGCATACTACCCTTGTGAAGCCTACAGTATAATATAAAGTTGTTGAAGATGAGGCAATAATGTGAGCTGTCGTACCGAATTACACAATATTGTAGAGATGCAGTTGTGTCCATTTATGAACATTCAAGACAGCGGCCAGTATTACATTTTACATTACATTTCTTCAACATATTAGAATAAGAAAAAACATTCTTTTTGATGTTGATAAGAGAAATTCAAAACAGGGGGATGTCTTATAAAAGAATGTCAACAAATTACAAAAAATAGAAAAAAAGAGATGCTTATTTCTAGAGACTAACTTCCGAGAAACACGAGAAGTACTGGCAATTGCAACACAGCTGATGTATTTATACAACACACATGCACAGACATATTTTCTGTGACATGACAGACATGTATAAACACAGAAGAATGATTCACCTCGTCCTCCTCTTCTTCCATTCTTTGTCGTCTGTTTTACAAGTTTTTCTTTAGTCTTTCTTATCTTTTGCGTCTTTAAATGATGTTCTAAGCTGGATTTAAAAGTAATGGAGCTCCAACCATCCACCCATTGGTTTAGATCCAAACTCCTGGGTCTGTCTGCCTTCTTCTCCCCCCCTGCAGACTCTATAAAACGGGTTACAGAGAGCAACTGTGCCACCTGGCTCTGAAGGCTCTTCTTGACACTGATGTAAAGGAGGAGCTGCTATATTGCCAACACCTCTATCATTGCCCCCCTTCCTTCCGTCACCACGTACAACACGCATGCATACACACACAAACAACAAATTGAGTACACACACTCTCACTTTCTCTGAGTTGCCAAATGCCAAACAGCCAAAGGGGTGTCATGTTTCTGCATAGTCATATAGGCTATGTAGGACGCACACGCACACACACACACACACACACACACACACTTAGAAGCCAATGAAAATGTCAACCTTTCTAAAAAAAAAAAAAAAAAAAAGGAAAAAAGGAAAAAAAAGAAGGCATCCCTCAGAGGCCAAAGTATCTAAGTGAGTATCTGGTCAAGTGAGTGACTGTGTCATAGATTTAGGACATGACTTTAAAAGGTAACCAAGCGCTTTAATTAAAGATATTTTTCATGATTAATCTATCTTTCAGTATTTTTTTTTCAATTCATAAATGTATCATTTGTTCTAAGAAATATCAGAGTTGTGAAAAATGGCCATCACAATTTTCCAGAACCCAACTATTTACTGTAATTTACAATTACATAGAACCGAGAAAAGCAATAAATCCTCACATTTGCATTTCAAATTTTCACATTTCAAAATTAGAACTAGATGATTAATAGACTATTGACTTTAGCACTATCTCACACTAGATGCACACAAAATCACACAAACCTCATCTACTTTTGTGAATTACATCGCAGGACTAGCCCATTATTATGGACGACGACTGTATTATTAATATTATTATCTTCATTATTTGATGCTATTTGACACATTGTTGATACTAGTTATTATGCCATTGTCATCACAATTTCCTAGAGCCAAAGGTGACATTTTAAAATTGCTTATTTTGTCTGACCAACAGATGAAAACCCATTTACAGCAAAAGAAAAAATGAATCTGATGAATGAATCTGTAACCAGTAAATTGTTGATATTTCGCTTGAAGTTCCAGTGTATGACATTTAAGAGGATATATTGGCAGAATATGACAGAAACAGAATATAATATAATAACTGAATGGAAAATAAGAATCGCTGTGTTTCTGTTAGCTTAGAATGAACCCTTTATATTGACAGAGGGAGCTGGTCCTCTACATGGATGTATAATAAGATATGGATACCGGACCCAACAATGACACCTATTCAGTCCACTGGACCTTTAAACAAATGGTCAATTATCAAAATTTTTGTAAGAATAGTTTTTCGTTGATCAACTAATCGATTAACTGACTAATCCTTTCAGCATTGTCATGAACATCATCATTATTATAATCATCATCATCACCATTACCACCACAGTCATCAGGTGATGGGTGTGGTTATACTGAGCTGGAGATGCTTGTCGTACTCCGCCATGGAGAAATGTTCATCACGTTTGTTAGGTCGCACTGCCTATGCCTCTAATGTCATCACTTCAGTAATTCATAAATCACATTACTCAGTCCGTCAGTAACACTTTCATTGCAGTGCCAACAGGCGATATGAAACAACTTTCAACAGCGGTTTCAACATGCATAAAATTTCCGCTTTAACCGTTAGTTCTGAAATGGTGGACTCACTGACACAGCAAGAATTATGCAATCTTATTAGAGTGTTTCAATCACATTTCAACCATTATGTATTTCAGGAAAGACAAGCAAAAGCCCCAACAGACTAACACATATACACACTCTGTCACACAAACTGATCTAAATCTCCTTTCCCTCTGAGCTGTAAGTGAAAGCTTCATTTAGCTAATGGACGTTTAGCCCAACACATGATCCCTGGCAGTTTGCGGTGCTTCCTGGCATGAGGGGACACTGTTGAGCTCTGTCCAACCCAGATTAAAATTCACGCCCCTATGACCACTGACCTTTGTTATCATCACACGTGGTAATAAATGGTCAAGTATATTTGGTGTTGTTTTATAGGCCCAAGTGTCAGACAGAACGAATGTTAGAGGGGGGAAAAAAAAGAGGAAATAATGTAAATGCGTGCAGATTAAAGAGTAATATCACTCACCAAGGATTAACATTTGGGTAGATTATCTGGGAACTCTGGCTTTTATTTGTGAGGACATGGAAACAGCTCACACACAGGGTCACACACACACACACACACACACAGAAGTCTACTGCCTTCCCTCTGCTATTCCAAAATTAACCGATCTTACAATAACATGCTTGTGTCACACAAAGTCACACACAAAGTCACACACAAAGTCACACACCCACACACATCTCTTTTAATCTCTTTTCTCCCTCTCTTTAACTAACTTGAACAGACACATCACCAAGGGCAACACTCAAAATTCATGTGTGACGTTCCAGCGTCTCCACTGAAACCACTGATAATATTACATCTACTATACTATTCATTTACGGATACATTTCCTGGATGATATCTGATCACATTACAGAAAATAACAATTTATAATGTGGAGGTTTATACTGTAACACACACTGACAATTGTGAAAATAGGATGTTATTCCCCCATGACCTGTGCTATTACAAACAGCGTTAAGTGATAACACTGTGCTGATATTTGCAAATAGCTGTTTTGTACAATATGCAGGTTCCTTAATTTTAAAGTGACTTCAGATGAATTGATTGTTATTTCCAGTTAACCAGGCCTCAAGGTTTGAACTTTGTCTATTGGTGCTCTTATCAACACAGCTCTGACTCTACTGACTGCAATGCTGACCATACTCTTATAGATAATGGTCCTGTAATTGTGTGGAGTGCTTTTCCACTGATATGATTCCGGTCCACTCATTTCCCTGAGAGAGATGTTGCTGCTAATCACGGGTAACATAATACTTTTGAATGGTCCTCTTCTATCACTGTGGTGGTTGTGGAAATTTGTATCTCCTTGAAATATCACTATGGTTCATATGGCATCATATCTGGACAAAAGTCAGTTACTAATGTCAGGATGGTCATGCCACTGTGCTGGAAGAAACCATTCCTCAGCTGCCATCAACACAAAAAATGCATCTGGTTAACATCCAGCGGACACTCGTCAGTGCTATGTACAATCTTACATGTTCACCAGAAAGTAACTTTTAGTTTGACCACATCCTTCCACTGAAAGATCTCAAATATGAAGTGAGGGTATGACTTCTAGCTGTAAACAGTTTCCGAATAAGCTGTGATCCTGGAGCCATAACCACGTGACCATGATAACATTCTGTCTGCAGTCTGAACAAGGGTAGTTTGATGAAGCTTCAGACAACTGGTAATCAGATATAGCACCACTGTGGGTCTGTACTGGACTTGTAAGAATGTGTGTAAACTGGTGCATGCATTTAAGGATGTGTAGTCAGAAACACAGGCATAGACACAAACTGGAACATGCACACATTAATTTACATTCATGTAGCCTAATGTAAATTTCAATGTGGCCATTGACAATAACATCTTTGTCAGTGTATGTTTTCATGTGTAAACAATAAAATGAACTACAGTTAACTGCTTATGGGTAAGGTCATATTAGCTGAGCGGTATTTATCACTTGTGACATCCAAATAAAATGACATCTACTGCATTATCTGGGATTTATATGAAATGTCACTCGCATCTTTGGTCACCTGACAAGGGCTCAAATGTGATCATCTGATCCTTGACAGATAGTATGAAGGGCAGGGCTCTCCTGTTGCAGAGAGGGAGCTGTGTGTGTGTGTGTGTGTGTGTGCGCGTGTGTGTGTGTGTGTGTGCGTGCGTGTGTGAGTGAGTGAGTGAGTGAGAGAGAGAGTGTAGAATCACAGGCCTAAATAGTCAGGCTTCTTTGTGGACAAAACCCATGGTGCCCATGGCAACAAGTAGTAGAGCTATGGGTGGCCAGTTGCCACTTCCTGTCTGCCAGCCAATTACAACATACACACAGCCACACTCCCCATGCTCCATTAAGCTACCTTGTGACTACTGTAAATAATACTGACATAGACAGGAATGGAGGCTCTAGGGGGAAAGGATTTTGCACCACCCCCAATCCCTCCTCCTCTGTAGAATGTGGGTGGGGTGGATATGGGGGCGGGGGGTAAGAACAGCTGTCAGAGGGACATAGATCTGTCAAATACAGCTTAGATTAGAGGGTGTGGCCATGTAGAAAAGAGGACTGTGAGGGTGGTTATGATCTTGTGATTGCCGCATGGCAGGTTAAGGTATGCGCTGACCTAGTTCAATTGTGTGATGCCACCGTGACACAGCAGAGTGAGGGTTAGAATCCACTGGTTTGACAGACAGACAGACAGACAGACAGAGCAGTTAACAGCTTTGACCTGTTGCTATGACAGTAGCATGTAATGTATGTGCTGTATCTTACTAGCATAATTAAATGTATGATGAACCATTAGAAAAACTAGATTTAGTTTTCCTAGACTAAAATATATTTTTGCTGACCAAATCTAGACAACGGATGACAACTATTATTATATTTCCTTAAGTCAAAGCTTAACGCTTAAGACTAAATCCTTCAATGACTTTGTGACCCTACATTGTCCTCTAATGCATTTTGTTGCTAAGCCTGTGGATATTTGCAATTTGCAAGAAACTAACAATCTATAATTGTTAATTAATAAGTCAACACTTGCCATTTAAAAATGGAAATTAATTGGTCTGTAGCTGTTTCGTGACAGTTAAAGTTAGATGACCCTGCATACCCTAACTAAGACCCTAATATTTCCATATTTCCATAATGCCAATATAATGCAAATAAGACCTGACTATATCAAAACTACGCAGTAAATATCATCTGTTTCAAGACATCATGAAAAAAAAAAAACAGGTTTCCATCACATCATGTATACATCATAAATAATGTATACATTTTCAGCCTTTCTACTGGAACAGTCAGTGTACACATAGTGTGGAGAATAAAATGGGTCTCACTACACAAAGCTTCAAATGTATACATATTTTTTTCATCCAAACACATTAGTTATAAAACTACATATTCCGTGTTCTCTCTAGCATTTAAGTAATGAATGGACATTATAGAAAGTTCACTCTGACATTTACATGTAGCTACTGAAGTGTAGCGGTGCATTTGCAAAGATAACAGGAAAAACAATGCACATCATACATCTTAACAGAAACGTCAGGCACCAGATGCTCAATGTAGCCTTAGTTGATACGGGTAACAAGTTTCCTTACCTGGTTACAGGTGCTGATATCTACTCCATTTTTCAGGTAGTCGAGGACTTTGTCAATGTTCCCCGCTCTGGCAGCCCGCAGGAAACTGGTGTTACTGTCGGACTAGACCGATGAAGAGAGGAAAGAGGCTAATGTTAGGACCAGGAATATAAGCATGTTTTTAAGTTTTAGCTCTACTTTCTGTATTTATGTTAGACATGGAAGATGTAACAGCAAGAGTTGGTTCAGAAAATATTTAGGTCAGACTGTATTTATTATACAAAAAATATTTTGTATATAAAACAACAGTTTGTTACCCAGTACATACACTAAATCAAAAAATATTTCAGATTAGTCTTTAATCTTATTATTTACAAGTGAATTTTAAACCCCAATTTTTTTGGGCTTAGTTCTGTTTACATACACATCTGCATGAAAAAAAGTCAAGTCAATTTAGAAAGATGGATGTAGCTTGTTATTGCTGTGCATGACAGGAGTTTATTTGATTTAAAAAGCTAATATAAAGGGTTCAGAAAGGGTTTTATGGTTTTATGGAAGCCAGACATCCTCCTTGTATCAATAGTTAGATTTGTCAGAGTAGGCTATTCTAAATTTAACCACCAGACTTCAAGGCTGCACAAACAGCTGCAACACACACACACACACCATTGCTCTATGTTTTACTGCATTAATGTGTATGTAGTGAATTAATTTAATTTGATTTCAACACTGAACTCCTCCAGAAATGTTGACAACATATACTCAGGGAGGATGCTTTACAGCTGAACAGTTAATCATATTATGAAAGCAGACCATAGCAATATAGTAGGAGTGTATAAGTCAATATCAACCAATAATATTAAGTCTGCTGATATATTAAGAGCTGCAAATAACAAATATTTTTATTATTAAAGATGTCATGTTATTTTTTCTATTAATCAGTTATTGATTTGGTCTATCAAAGTGTCGTTACAAACGCACATAAAAAGTCCTAAAGCCTGAGTTACTGTCACCTAATTGAAACCCCAGTAAGACAAAGAAAAGCAGAAAAGACACATATCTGAAAAAAGTGAAAAGAAGGGAATGTTTTTGTGAATGTGCATTTTTAGCTTGAATGATGATTCTACAATAAATCAATAATCAAAAAATAGTTGATAGGTTGTTAGTCTATCATCTTATCGATTAACTGACTAACAATGAACATTTACAAATATATTACTCGCCAAAATGTATTCTGCTACATGAATGACACACTACTTTTGCAAAGGACCATTAGCTGTATTGATCTGAAAGATTGTTGACAAGGTTTTAACCTTGTTTTAGTGGCGTCAAAATGGTAAGGTATCAGTCAAACACACACACACACACACACACACACACACACACACACACCAGCAGCAGCAAAGAGACTGTCACAAAATGTTTTCTTGAACACTTCCTCAGTGCAACACGTGTAACAGACAAGACGAACGGTGATGACCAGCTATGTTTCTCTCTCCACCTCTTACCAGCGAATCATCAACTTCAGATCCAGAGTCAGCTGCTCCGTAGAAGTCACTGTGATGGTTTGAATCGTTGTCACTCCCACTGGTCTTTAAAGCTTTATCTGATCCACAGGCCTTACACATTGCTGCATTACCCATGGTTACTATCCAAATCATTTGGTAATTTCCCAGCTATACTTGAAAACTGAGGCCTTTTTTCACTCGCTTCACTCACTGTATGGTATTATATTATAAGCAGATGTCCAATCCTCATAGTTTCTCACTTTGCGACCTTAGCTAAAAGCCTCTCCAGTCCACTCTCCGGACGTTAAGCGGCATCGATCAATCTTACAATCCATTAAATATGTCCATGTTTTCCGTCCAAATCTCACTTACTTCACTATTATTCACCACACCTCTTTCCACTCTCTATGGCCTTCTATCCTCTGGCCAGAAAAAACTCCTCTGGCTTAAATACCTCTGCCTTAGTGTGTGAGCTCAGCCTAGCCAAGGCCCAGTCCTGTTCGCACTTCCTCTAGCGCTCCTCTCTCTCTGTAGGATACCAACTACAGCCATAAACATTTAACCCTCAGTGTCTCTCCCGCCTTGGCTATTTTTACTATTCCAGACCCTCTCCTCAATGAAGACAAGAACCCCTTGCTGCATGTACCCAGGGTGGGGTGCATGACAGCTGGGTTTGAGTCAGGCTGTAGACCGCATGGCCTATGGTGCTCTCCAGGAAAGTAGAGGGGCATGATGAGTTATAGAAGTCCAGCCTGAATGCAGTACTCAGATCAAATTTCAGTAACTTATATCCTTACGCAGGACACATTGTTCTTCATTAGGGGAATGTAGAAAATTATGTGTAGACATGGTTCAGAAAACTTGCTTAACCTGTGTGCATGGGATTTCATCTGAGCATGTGTTTTTAAGGCACTAAGGCAGAATATTCCAGATACTTGTTCATAACAGACATGCAAACAGGTAACCAAACCAGCAGCATTATACAGGATCCAGAAGTACACAGAAGGCACACATGTCAGTCTGTGTTGCAGTATGTTTTTAGTGACTTCTGCTTTCGCTGTTTTTTCAGTCTCTCTGCCAAGAAAACACACACAGGATTTTAACTGCAGTCAGTCATGAAAGGAGGATACTGGATTATACACTGTACTCTGAGGATCATCAGAACTCTACTCAGTTTCATAAACATCACATTAGCTGCTGCAATTATGTGCACACAAGGCTAATTATGGTCATTATTTTTACCACTGTCATGACCTGTATTATGAAGCCAGATACACTCACACAATATTCATTTGACGAGCACAAGTGCTATCAAACACAGGTTTGATCCAGATAAAGTAACTTGAGTGTGTGGCAGTAAAAATTAGGCGGCTTGATCTATTCAAAGGTCATTTTTCAAAGTAACTACTACTAGAGATGTACCAGAGTCCAAATCCGTTTTTTGGGAAAGCAAAAATAATGCAACGGAACCCGATATTTATTTTATCCAAAGATGCTTGGGGTAGTCAGCTCAGGTGATAAACTGTGTGAGAATGGATCTAAAGAAAAGTGTTCAATCAGCAGCTGCAGCAAAAACTGGTAAATGGATAGTACTTATGTACTTATGGCTGTCCACCCGGTGGATTACTCTTTACTTTAAGGTGTGTATGTGGCTGCAGCTGCTGTGGAGTTTATATTGTTAATACATCTCTGTGTTGTCTGCTCTGGTGATGTTTTATTCTACTATTAAAGTGACAGTTGGGGGGTTATTACAGTATTACAGGTTACTACAGTTATTTCTTATAAAAAGCCTAATAATCCTTGTTGCACTTGCTGCAGTGTTTTTAGTTCTTGCTGGACATTTGTGTTTACATTTGTGTTTAATTGTCTGCTTCTCTGTTTCCTGGTTAATTGTACTGAGGCTATACAGAGGAAGGCCATTGTAAATTTAGAACGGATAATCAATGGTATGCACCGGCATCAGTCCATACAAATGTAATTTATACAAATGTAATTTTGTTGTTGGATTGACATTTAATGCAGTTGTAACCCATTGGTAGATTATTACCTTTACTATCTATCTATAATTTAAATAATTTCTATTTCTGAGACAGCAGGACAGCAAACCACAGCACAGTGTACAGCCAACCACATCTGCTTCTGTGCAACCCCTACAACTCACTCTCACACGCAGCATCCTAAAACTAATGCTAACAGTATACTCTTAACCTCAAAAGAGCATGTGTGTGGAGGAAATGGTAATGAGCATGACACAAATTTGTGAAAATGATTTTGTGAGTTTTACCAGACGCTTTCGCTCAGCTCTCTCACGCTGCCGCCTCCTCCTCTCCCTGGCTTTCTGTAGAGCTCTGTACTCTGGATTTTGCTCAAGCTCACGAGCTTTCTTCAGGTGGGCAGCAGCATGGGCCATGACTTCACTTTCTCAAAAATTGTTTCAGTAGGTGCTTCAGTTCCACTTTGCCAACTTTCATGCGTACTCAACTAACACTTAGTACTACATGTACATGTAAACCTTTGCAGATGCCAAAAAGCTGAGTTCTACTGTATGAATTATAAAAAGTAATTAAATCTATTGTTAACACTGTGCTAAGTCACATGAAAAAAAAGTAAATTTACAAGAAAGTTTCTGGTTATATCCCAAATGATTAAAATTAATCCACCATTAAAGTAATATCCGTCTGAAGTCCTCAACTGAAAATGCAATAAAAAATAAAATCCTTGGATTGGCTCCAAAAATGATCCTGTCTTTAAACTGACTCTGGAAATAAACAGCTACTGACTATTTCTCCCCTTGCATCCCCCTCCTCTTCAATTGTTCTATTTTCTTCTCTTCAGTCTTCTTTCTCTTCGTTGTCCCTCCATTTCAGCCCAGGAAACAGCTACTGGATTTTAAAATTCTCACACAAACCCTCAGAGGTCCACACATCTATATATGCCAATTGATAATGAACCATTCACATTCATGTGTCCAGACATGAGGGAGGGAGATGATGACTGAAAAGGGCTGACTGATGAGAGTAAGAGTCACTACATGTACCCACACACACACACACAGGGAATGACCCAATCCAGATGTGATGGAAACCCTACTGCATGTGAACAGATGTCTACAAAATGTGTTTTGTGCGTGTGTGTGCGTGTGCACACACACACACACACACACACACACACACACACACACACACACACACACACACAAAACCTGCATGTGAGCTACAGTCACAGGAAAGGTTTTTTTTTGTGTAAGGGGTTTAGGAAAGCTGCATGCCAACAGCCAGCTGACTGCAACAGCCACACTTATTCTCACTCACTATTGCAGTGAAAATGCAGTTTATCCTGAGGAAAAGAGCGACACATGAGGAGAAAGGAAGGTTAATGGATGTGGAGAGGACATGGGGTGGATTAAAGTGGGGGAGCTGCAGATAGGGCAAATCAAGTGAGTATTAAAGCCATTTTGCGTGGAATAGTCTTCTATTGGTGCCCCCCAGTGGTTGTGTCAGACCATCGGACACTGACATAAATGGGATGAAAGGATTTTCTTGGACTGTCACAAACCTTTTACAACACAATAAGTTTGAAGAAGCTATAATCATGTACACATGTGACACAGAGTGC